CTCAGCCAGTGAGCACTGTGAGCGCACCGGTCATCCCTATATAGGATCCAAACCCGCGGCGAGAGCACTGCTGCGCTCCCAGCGCTGCACTCTCCCGAGTGCACCACGGGCTCGGCCCAAAGGCCCACCTTTCAAATACCACTTTGGAGGTTAAGTTCCAGCTGCAGCAGGCTTGAACACCAGGAGGTAGGGACCCTTGGTGTCATCTTGGAGACTGATGATATTTAGACTATACTCCTGAAGGCCCAACAAATTCCCAGCAGAATAAATAAAAGGATTGTATTGCTAGACCCATTGTAGGATATCAGAGACCAGTCTCTCAGAAGCATCAGAGAGGAAAGACAGCCCTAAAAGGAGCAGCGCGAGGCTGGCAGGCAGCTGCTAGCTGCAGTTGACAGCATCACGTGTGCGTGAGAGAAAACGGGTCAACCCTGAAGCTTATGCGTGGCAAAAATATATTTTACAAAGAGCGCAAAATAAGTGAAGAGAATTTGTCCCTAGTGAACTGTCTCCTCAGTCCTGAAGAATGGACCTCTAACAGTAAGAAAGTATCTCAGATAGAAGGTCTGAAATGGACGAGGAACGAGGGACTTGGAGAAAGGAAACACACAGGTGAACCGAAACCAGCATGATGGGCCCGGGCAAGTCGCTGGACACTGCTCACTCGGAGAGCCCAGGGTGGCACTGATGTGCCCACCTGCAGCCGCATAAAGCCAATGATGGTGCCTGGGATGGAGCCACAGTTTTCCAGGGTCCCTGTGGTGTTTGAAAGGGGATGGAGATGTGTTGTCAACTTTTGACTTTGATGAGTTTGCATGCATGCCGTGGTGACACCAAAAGAACAGCAAGAAAACCATGTCTGAGCAAGTGCAAGGGACAATGGAACGGAATGGAAAGAGTGCACGCCTGACCCAGGAGCAGGCAGAGAGGACAGAGAAGTACAAAGGTGGCCAGCCAGGAAGCACAGCTGTGGCAGCAGTGGTGACCACCAATACGTCAGT